AAAAAAACCACAATGTTTAAGCCAAAATAATTAATCACTTCACCTACGGGAGGGGGGTTGGTGGGACAAAATTACTAGTACCTTATTTAGATCAGTTTTTGTTTTAATTGTATTCATTCTAGTAATTGTTTTTAACATTTATTTTTTAACTCAGTCTTCATTTTATTCTTATTTTCTATTATTGTATTTTCTATTACTGTATTGTATTGTATTGTATTTAGAATTGTCCTAGTCTTGTAATACTTTTTTATTTACCATACTGAACCCTCTGATGGCTTGGTAGTGTAATAAAGTTGTTATTATTATTATTATTCTTGTTATTGTGATTGTTGATGGCCTCCGCCATTACAAATGAGGGAATAAGGTTCGTTTCAGACTAATTGCCGATCAATTGGCGCGCAAGCAATCATTTTCTTAACCCATATTTTGCAAAGGTAGGACGGGATTACCAAGTATGGCGATAATCAATATATTTGACATGTTTCTGGCACATTTTATCTGTTTTCACTATGTTAATGATACACGTGTTTGATATTCTTTCAGATTAACCCATTCACCCTCACATGTTCACACCATTTCAATGACTCGATAGTGTATCTGTCTCTTAAAGGGTCGAGATCCGGGTACATTACGAAAACTGCCTTTTCTTTGAGATACTTTGTGAAATACAAGCAGTAAATTTGTTAAAGAGCGCTGGTCGTCGCGCCGCGTCCTGTTCGATATGGAACTCATAGCGAGGATACAACGCGTGTAACATTGTTTGTTTACATGAAATTCGAGCACGCGCTGCGCGACGACCACCGCGCTTTAAATTGCATTATATTGCAGTGTAAACATTTATCGGAAAGCAGGTTTTTCGTGTTTACAATGCTGATCCATATAAAGAATGTCAAGTGTTTAGTACAAAATAGCTTCAGCAGATGGTTACTAGTACTTACCGGAGCCTCTCTTCAAGGGTTTCGCGTACGAGTCAGCTACCAGAACCACAAGAACTATGACAACTATGGCGTTCATGATTTGCACGTCGTTTTCAAGATCAAGTGCTGCAATATCAATGGGTGTCAAAACAACAGCAATTTATAGTATTGATCACGTAATATGAGACCAACCAACACACGACAGTACGTGACAAGATGAGTAATCGTAAATAAAGGCCCAGGTATACGCTTCTAAACAATAGGAATTATTTCCCTGGATATGCGCGTAAACAGCTCCAGCCAAGCTTCGTTAAAGTTGCGTCGATTATCACAGCAGAGCTTATAAGTTGTATTTATAACAATAAAACCGGTTAAAAGACGCGCTGCTACGCTTGAATAATTAACTGCTGCCAATCAATGTCACGTCTAAAACAGGTGGCTCAATCATGGAGGTAATCTATTCTTCACAAACATTCACACACTTGTTAATGCGTTTCCCATTGTCACATAGTGAATGCAACGAAGACAATGAAAACCGTGTTCGCAAATTTAAAAAGTCGCCACAGAGAGTACAAACTAGAAATACCCCTACTGAATTGTTTTAATGCAATCATTATTACAGTGTAGTTTAGTTTAGTATTGTTTATTGTTATGTTCCGAGTGTGTGTA